CGTTCTTGCAAAGCAGGCCCTCGGCCCTCGAAGCAACAAGCAGGGCTCTTCTCCTCAGTGCTGCGCTCTGCAATCAGCACAGTGGGCTTGGTCCAGCGGGCTGGATGCTGCACGGGTTCAGTGGGGGCTAAAGGGCCGGGGGGGAGCAGGCAGCTCAGCTCCAACCAGAAGGAGCAGCAAAGCTGGAGGGGCGAGGGGGATTCAGGCAGCAGCTTTCTAAACTGCAGGCTATTTTCGCCAGGGGACTCATCTCCCAGATCGCATGACCGAGCACCCAGCGACCCTTGCAACTAACGTGGCTCTTCTCCTCAGTGCTGCGCTCCGCACTTTGGCAAAGTTCCAGGACAGGCATCTCCGCACTTGCACAGGCGCTTCTGGTCAAAGCCAACCAACCTATGGGAGCAGGTATGGCGGATGTGGATGCTGGCACTTATAGTACCGATACATCGCGAGGAGACACTTGGACAAAGGGGCATCCATGGGGGAGAGTCAAAAAAATCAAGATGGCATCCACATTGTGTGATCAAAGCCTTGCCCAATTTTATTTGTGTTATATGGACCTTCGATTGCACAGCTGGAGCCATCACCTTGACTTTGTGACACCCCTGTGTGGACACACCTGCTCAGACACCTTTTGTACTGGGACATCTTTGCCTAAATGCCCAGGACCTGCCACAAGTGCAGGAAGCACAAGTGTGACTTAGGGGAGGGGTCACCCACGGAGTTGAAGTGTCTCGGATCGAATGAAGGCAGAGGTCTTGTCTTTAGCAGAAATGCTAGGAAGTCAAAAGCTATCGAGCGCATTGAGAAAGGGTGGGCGACCTTTTGGACCCAGACATCCATACGGTGTTTATAAACGCGCAGGCACAGATTTTGAGCAGCCTTTTTACCGTATCAGAGTGGGGAAGAAGGTAATCTGAACTTTAGAAAAGAAAAAATCTTAAGAAAAGCGTATCACAATAATAATCAAAAGAAAAGTTACTGCAAGAAACCCACCACCGAGTAAGATTTGATTCTGCTTCCAACCTCCCTCTGCCTTTCTCCGGGCCGTTTTGTTCCTATTTATGAACACCCTGACATCTTCATCCCGCAAGTTGGGCTCCAAGTACAGCCAGTTGGTGTAACAGCTCCCTCCGCGCTCCGAAATGATCTGCTCCACCTTCTCCATCAGCTCAGAGACCTGCTCCTCCCGCTCGGCTCCCTCGGCCTTGTTGTTAAACCCGCAGAAGCGATTCCCGCACTGCTGGATCAGGGCCCGCAGAGCCTTGTTGTCGGACTCTCGGACGTACTCCTGCAGGGGGTCCCCTCCCAAATCTTCCTTGCAGGTGAAGAGGACGATCGTGTGCCTGGCGGACTCTGCCCCAAAGATATCCTGGACGTGCTTTGCAGCCGCCGCGTCTTCCGCGGTGAAGCGCCCCACCTGGGTCACTAAAACCAGGGCGTGGGGGCCAGGCCAGGAGAGCTCAATGCAAGACATGACCTCACGTCGCACAATCTCATTGCAGTCTTCGGAATCAAAAATGGCTGGTGTGTCGACCACGGAAACCTTCATGCCATGCCAGCTTCCCTGCCCTCTTTGGCACTTCAGGGTGGTCGTCGTTGCCACCAGGGCGGACTTGAACAGTTTCTGGCCAAGGATGGTGTTGCCCGTGGCGCTCTTCCCGCCTCCGGTCTTCCCGACCAGGATCAGCCGGAGTTCCCCTGTGAGTGTTGAACACACAGAAATGCTGAGCTCCCCTGTGAGGAGTTCCCTTACTGACACAGTGGATGGGAACACTCGATTTTGGCATTTCAAAAAACTGAAGTACATGTTAGTGTAACACATTAAGTAATCAACTTCTAATTCAATTTCAGCTGTACCTGTTCAGAATGTATTTATTTATTAAATAAATGCATATGACCACCCACCTCATAAATGCAACTCTGGGTAGCTAGCACCATGTTCAAAAAACAAAAAGACAATAAAAACAAAAGAAAAACAATATTAGCCAAGGGGGAAAAAACCAGCAATGATCGCTGAGAATAAACCCAACAAAATAATTGACAGAGACCTCTGAATGAGTCATCTCACCTCTCAACACTCAGGCCCTGGAGCACAGAGGTCTCGTACTCCAGGAAGAATTTTAAATATGTTTACTTGACAGTGCAAAAAGGGTCCAAATAATCTGCTTCTTCCAGGGCTGTCTGGAGCTGTAAGCCAACGACCTCCTCAACAACCTTCCCTAAAAATGGAAGGTTGGAGACTGGACAAAATTGGGTCCAGTGACGGTCTCTTTAGGAGGGAGCAGACAGCCGCCTCCTTCCAGAGGGATGGAGCCACCCCTCCCGCAGAGAAGCACTCACTACAGCATGGACCAGCCACCTGCCACCTCCCGGGAGACCTTAATCCACCGAGGAGGGAGAGGGATCTAAAACGCAGGCCTTGCTCACAGCTGCAAGGCCCCTGCCCACTTCATCAGGGCCAACCAGCCTGAACTCTTCTCAGATAACTGGCAAGACTGCCCTTCAGACAACTCCGCAGGACCTGCACCGCTGGACTCCAATTTCAAGGAAATCCGAGCAAATTCATCCAGCAGGGGCCTGGAATAATCTTCACAGCAGACCCGCAAGAGTTCACGCAGTGGGACCAGGTCATCCTAAACTTTCCGGCTGTCTGCGGATGTGGTAGGGGTGGAGAAATAACTACAATTCACACCCTTATTGCCACAAGGTAGTCCTTAAAGCAAGCTTATACCCCTGCCCAGCTGGGTTCGCTCTTCGTTTTTCTCCAGTGGTGTTCTAGGTATCTCTTATGCCATTTCATCACCTGGAGCTCCTCTGAGAACTAGGGGACCTTCAGTTTCTGCCAGCATAGAGTGCGCACATAGGCGCGGTCCAATCCAAGGCCAAGATCGCCCTCTGATTCCAGGCAGCAACCAAGGGTTTGGTTCAGTCATGCACCAGACTCCCAAGAACAACCCCAAGCTTCCCCTGGAATCCAGTAGGTCCATTAGGTGCCCAGGGTGCACCATTCAAATAAGTTCTGCCTCCCTGCAGGGAGGTACAACACCAGAGAACTCCAGAGCCAGCAGGGAGCAGTCAGTCCATGGCAAAGGACTGATGGTATCCCCCAACGCCAGGTCACATTGCCGCTGCCCAGATTGAAAACACAGATTTAATGTGTGGTCTCCCCTGTGAGTTGGGCCAGAGGTGACTTGGGTCAGGTTCACAATTGCCATGGCAGCCATGAACTCCCGAGCTGCCTCCAAGTCCATGCCCAAGGACGGCAGGTCCAAATCCTCCAGAACCATGAGTCTGGGGAACCCCACCACCAACCCAGTCATAGGCTCTAGCGGCTCCGGAAGAGAGGTGCTGGGCGGCAGGGAGGCTGGCACAGAAGCAACAGTCCCTCCTGGTCCCTACAGCCCTTGGCACTTTGTCCCCAGTGACAAGACAAGAGGGATTCTCAATCAGTCCAAGGTCCCACACCAGCAGGAAAAACTTGCAGTAATGGGTGGTGGTAAAGATCCACTACGTTCACAGAACACAACCTGCTAAGCTTGACTAGCCCTAACCAGAGTCATTTTTTGTGGCTTACCACATCTGTTTTCAGCTTCGAGCCACCTGTGGTGAGAAGGGCGGCTACAGAAATTGGTTTAATAAATACATAAATAGTGTGAAGCCAGGCTGTTTGGTTGCAACTGAATGCATTATGCTAATCTAGAAAATAAGTTAATGCAATAAATAGGTTAGATATGTTATAAAAACACATCCTCTGAACTGAAAAACAGCAACCACAATCGAAAGGTTGAATGGCAAGCATAATCAGTCTGGGCCAAAGGTCAGGGCTTTTAGGAAATTGAACAAAGCTTGAATTAAACACAAAAAACAATTCATACTTCAAACTTGACTCCTCCCAGCCAGAGGCTTTTGTAGTGGGAGCTCCGGGGCTTCACCCAAATATGGACAGACCAGATTGCAGAAACCGGGCTGCTCAGAAGTATTTACTCTTGAGTAGACCATTCCTCCAGAGAACACCGCTGCTGCTAATGGCCTCTTCCAAGGGGCCTGGCACTCCTTCTCATTCCCCACTGGCTCTTGAGGTCCCCAAGGCCCCATTTCTGCGCCAGGGAGAGTCCCGGGTTGCAGGTTCAGGGGCTGGGGAGAAGGGCTCCTCAGGACCTCGGTGCTCGACTCCTTGTACCCAGCTTTTGCCCCTCAGTGACCACCTCCCTGGGACCCGAGGGATGGAGCGGCCTCTCCCTCGCTCACGCGGCCACTTCCGACCGTCGGATGGTGGTCCTTCCAACCCTTGCTGCTGTTTCAGGTCGAGAAGGTGGAAGTGGAGCATGTGTGGATGGCAGACGTGGCGGGAGGGATTTGGTTCGGCACTAAAGCCTCCAAAACCAGTTTTTAGCCCCACCCCGTGATGTTTGAAGGGAAAGATTAGTTGCATGATTAATTATCTTGTGCATGTAATTAATTTATCTTCACTGCCCTTCAATCAAATCTAATCAAGCTTTTGCCTGCACCCATTTCTCTGTGTCACTGGTATATGTGCATGAGATAGGTGCGCAGGTATACATGTGGGGCCGGGCAGTGGGAAACATAACTTCTCAGGATAAAGCAAAGGCAAAGGGCTCATCCCCACCACCTCCTCGCCCAGCCCCAAGGTGGCCCACTCCCCTCTTCCAGAGGACGGTCCTGTCTGGCTGCTGGCCTGCTGCAGAGTTGGGCTGAAGCCGGAGCAAGGTGATCTAGCAGGGAGGAAAATGGAGTTTTCTGCAGGGGTGTGTGATAATCCCAAAGGTGGGGTGCGGCATTGTGGTCCCTTTTGCAGGTGCGCTGATCTTGCAGGGTCATCTTGCGGATTTCAACAGATGCCCGTGGGTGGAAGACCAAACCGGCCACCTGGGCAAGCCTTCGCCATCACATGGAGGAGGGGGACCCTAAGGAGCGCTGGAACCCTGCAGAGCTGTCACTGGCCAGCTGCAGACGCCCCCCCCATCTGTGGGGCTGTGCACCTCTGCAGCCATTTCTGCTCCGGCTACTGGAGAGGAGAGAATCTTCCTGGCACCTACAACCTGTTCCTTTTTTTCTTTTTTTTTTGCTTTTGGTTGATCAGCAATGGGAGCGGCAACCTTGCAGAAATGGCTCTTCCAGGAGAGTGATATTCCCGTAAGTGCAAACAGGTTCCTGCTGCTCCCTGTCTTTGCACAGGTGACAATTAATAATATGCATTTTGGGCCAGATAATGAGCAGGTCACCTTCCACTGCCTTGGCATCACATTTCAAAACTTACCCCATAATGGAAGGTTTCCTGCTTTTCAGATTCCTGGTTCTTTTCAAACTCTCTTAGATACTGAAGATTGTGCCGCAAGAGGTTTAATTAAAAGTATGGTGGGTGTGAGCGGGGTCAGCTGGGAGGAGTCCCCTGCAAACAGCCACGCCAGTCCCTCAGGAGAGCTTCCTTTGGGGCAACGGCCCATGCCCGTCCCGGCCCCTATCCACTCCTCACCCGTCGAGCAGCAGGATGGGAGGTGCTTCCCTGCGCTGGCCTCTGCCCCCCCC